TTACCTGAACCTAAACCTAAAACCTAGTATCCTTGTGAACAAGGTACATGAAAGGTGCCTAACACCTTCCTTTCGTCTAATGAAGTCCGAAACCTAGAATCTATGTTTGCGGATTATGGTTTCATATTAGATGCCCTTCCCTATGATAAAAACTGATAGTGGTGACTCTTGATTTAAAAACCAGTCGCAACAGAATCCTCATCATTAAAAGTTAGGATTTAAAAACAATTCCAACAATGAAATAACAACTCATAATTTGTATCAAAAGAGAAACACATATTTCACTTCAAACGTCTCTCAACCCCAATGTTACATATCAGAGCAGACTCCCTTATTTAACTTAATCAAATAAACACACTCTGAAGCTATCCTCTAAGCTTCATTGCACTAATCCTGATCACCTATAAGTTACCCATGGATAGAGGCAACATTTCTAAGCAGAAAGGGTGAGGAAAATCTTCCAGACACATTACCCAGAATTTTGTTTAAAGATTCATCAGAAAATTCATATAGTTCATCTAAAAACGCATTCGAGCCCAGAAAACGGTTAGCATTGATCGTAAAAATAATGAGTCCACTGGAAAACTAATGAGTCTCGTCAGTACAAGCTCATTCGTTTCCTTAACTACGACTTCATATCAGTTGGAAACACCTAAACTCCTAACTCGACCACACACTCTTGTCGGTGGTGGCGTCTGAAATCGGTACAACCACCGTCAAACACCCACAGTCGTCGGAGCAACACTCACTCTAACCAGTCCACCCTATCCATATCCATTCTGAGAAAAAATAGAGTCAAATCTAGCATAAGATAGAGAGAAATAGAGAGCTTACATGGTCGGAGAAACTAGAACGGTGGTCGGACGATTCTGTTACAAAGGTAGACGATGACAACTTGAACACGGAGGGCAGACGAGAGCGACAAAGTGGCAAAAAGTGCAAATAAGCTCTCTCGTTCCTTATTTATAGAACAACCTCAAAGCATGTGCATGTTGTTCCCTAGGTAAGGCTAGGGGTCATTATTAAACCCTAGCCCCTAGCCATCATTACATATTAAATGCAAGACGTGGCTCAAAGCATGCGGGAAACGTCGCCTCTTCAATTTCAATCGCCAGTCCGGCTCCCTGTGTGTCGAACACAGTGGACGATTTTTGGGTCCTTCGTACAATCATGTCCTTGAAGAAGTCATGAAACATCCCCATCACGAACAACAAGCTCCATCTTCGATGTACGGGTTGACTCTAGGTCATCACTCCTATGCCTAGGAGAAATGACTTGGGGAGGGGATCCTGTTCTAGTCTGGCCCAATGGTTGGGCATGGCCCAGTCCACTTATGCGTTCAGGATGGCCCAATAACTTTGGCCCAATTAGTTAGGGCAAACAGGAGACACTTTTCCCCTCTACCCTTCGGCGGGGGATGCGTGATCGGTTGACCCCTAGGGCCAACATGACCATTGCTTCCCTTAGCCATACCTCTACCCGCATCAACGACTAGTTTTCACTCTGCCAATCACGCGTGGAGCAGCCTTCCAAGAATGACAAGACCATGACTTCCCGTGACCGCATCCCTGCTCGAAGTAACGCCTATTTCCAGGAAACTCTTCCCGTTACAATGGCTAGTTTTGGGCATCCCTTTCCAAGATAACGAGCACTAGCTGCTCGTTTCTGCTTTCACGCAGAAATCCTGGAAGTTACCTATTTTTGGAGGCCTAGTATCCTGGCCCAAAAAGTTGAAACCAATGGCCAAGCGTTGGTTTTTATTTAAATATCAATTGTAATTAATATAATTTAAAAAATATTAATATAAATCATTTTTATATGAATTACATCTCTAGTTTATAATATAATTTAATTATTTTGATGTTTTATAGTATTTTTAACAATTTAAAATAAATTTTATAAAATATATAATTAAAAAAATAGATGACTTATATTTGACATCAAATTAATCATTGAAATAGAAAATAAATAGAGTTATGAAATTAAGATAGAAAAATATAAATTTTATATATGATAAAAGATATTAAAAAATGTTCTAGAGTTCAATAACAAAATTATAATACCAATAAAATTATAAAAGATGATTAACATTATATATATATATATATATATATATATATATATATATATATATATATATATATATATATATATATATATATATATATATATATATATATATATATATATATATATATATATATATATATATATATATATATATATATATATATATATATATATATATATATATATATATATATATATATATATATATATATATATATATATATATATATATATATATATATATATATATATATATATCAGCCGATTTCTTTATCCATTGTCTTCCTAAAAATGAACATATTATTATAAATAAAAAAGAGGGTGTGTAATTAGAAAAATTATAAATGAAAATCTATGAACAATTGTTATTTATTGTAGTTAATAGATTATACAAAGAGGCTTAAAGTAATAAGAAAAGAAACTGATTATCCTATTTTTTAGTCCTTTTATTTAATTAACTAATTATTATTATTATTATTATTATTATTATTATTATTATTATTATTATTATTATTATTATTATTATTAATGAATAATTAATTAATTAATGAGTGAATTAATAGAGAAAAAAAAGTTATGATACGTAGTTAGTGCTATAGGGAAATTTCTTTTTGATATATTACTATGGGTTACGTGGTTGCTTTTTATTTGTTGGTTTTAATTAGTATTAATTAGTAGTAGATGTAGTATATGTAGTATGTGATCTATTTAATTTTTGGATTTTTTATTTAATAAAATTATATAAATTAATTTCTTAATTTTAGCCATACTTTAAATTAATATTTAATAATTATTTTTAATTATATTATCACTAACTAATAATTAATAGAGTGTTTTTTAGTAAAGTGAAGTTCTATAACACATATTATATTTTATTTCGAAAATATATTTTTAATACTAATTAATTTAATATTGTTGATTATTTAAAAAACAATAAAAAAAATAACAAACAAAAAATTCATTATTTTCCCACCAACTTTTTCGATAATATAATTAAAACAAATAAATAAATAAGAAATATAATAAAAATAAAGCCAAATTACAATAACAATAATGAGATTCACACTCCATTTATGAATATTTTTAAATACCGTTGTATATTTTGTATTTTAGATATTATCTGTAATTACAATAACAATTTAGGAAAAATTAATACAACAAAATTATAATAAAATAATTAATTTAAAATAGATAAAATGAGAAGGAAGAAAGAAGAACTATAAAAATAATTTTAGATACCATTGTAATTTAGATATTATCTGTAATTACAATAATATTGAAGAAAAAAAATTAACACAATAAAATTGCAACAACAAAATAATTTAAAAGAGAGAAAATAAGAAGGAAGAAAGAAGACCCATAAATTTCATCTAAAAATATTTTTAAATACTATTGTAATTTAGATATTGCTTGCAATTGCAATAACAGTGAAAAAAATTATTACAACAAAATAACAACAAAATAAATAATTTAAAATATAAAAATATATGGAAGAAGATCTTATAATAATGGAAACATAGAATAAAAGCAGAAATATTAGAAGAAGGAAAAAAAAAAACTGAAGAGCCGATTGAATTTGATGGTCTACATTAACTATAAATATTTTATTAGGACTGGAACGTATGCAATTTATTAATAGCAATATTTCTTTATTAGGGTTAATTTTAATAAGTTAATTCATTATTATACGTTGGAAAAAAAATTTACTTGGAACGTGTACATTTAATTAGGAGTGGATGTATGCAATTTATTAAAAATAATTTTCATTTAATTAGGAGTGGAGATATACTATTTATTAAGAATAATATTCATTTATTTGAATTAATTTTAATAAAGTAATTATTTGATAAAACGTAATTGATAGTAGACATTTTTTATTTGGAGTGTGTCCGTTAACTTTATTAAAAATAATTCTTTTAAACTTTTTTTATATTATTTTGAATATAAATAAGTTAATTTTATAATTTAATTAATTAATTATTATTGAAATGATGGTTTTTAAATCCATAATTTTAGAAAATAAATAAATAAATTAATCACATAAAACAAATAAAATATAAAATAAATCTTTAAATCATGGGAATAAGAGATTTTAATTAATAATAATAATTAATTAATTGATTAATTAATATTAATAATAACTAAATTAACTTTAATTTTAGTTTCAAATTTTTTTAAAAGACTTTATAATTTTAATTAATAAGATAATTATTAGCAACGTGTGGGTTAAATTTATTAGCAATAATTTTTTTATTTTATTTTTAATATAAATAAGTTAATATAATAATTCAATTAATTAATTATTATTCAGATGATGGTTTCAAATTCATAATTTTAAAAAATAAAGAAACAAGTTAACCACATAAAATAAATAAAATAAAAAATAATCTTTAAATTATGAGAATAAGTAGTTTTAATTAATATTAAATAATTAATTAATTAATTAATATTAATAATGACTAAATTAACTTTAATTTTGATTTCAATTGGAGAACAATTTGCAAAATTTAATAGAATTATAATTATAAGTCAATTTAAGATTTCTGTTATATTTCGATGGAGTAATAATAATAATAATAATAACAACAACAATAACAATAATAATAATAATAATAATAATAATAATAATAATAATAATAATAATAATAATAATAATAATAATTTTTTAGTTTTGACAAAATACTTAATAAAATCTATTTCATTTTAAAGATTTCTCAAATTTTATCATCCTATAAATGAAATTTACTCATAAGAATTTAAATTACCCTCTAAAATTCCATTTCCTCAAAAAATTCTCTTAAATTTAAATTTCCCTCTAAAATTATATCACATCAAAACTTTAAATTACCCTCTTATTCAAACATGCACTGATAGTTTTTCTCTTTTCAATATAAAATACAAGAAACTCGTCATCCAAATACCCAGTTAGCCTATGAAGAGTATAACTTGAGAAGTTCTTCCTGAAAAGTCTTTCTGACGGCCTCTCTTTTGAGCTTGAGAGCAGCAGTGACTAGGCCAGACTCAGGTGTCCATGGATCAGAAAGCAATTTTAATTTTGCAGGAATCTCAAGTTTTTGCAAACCAGCCTTCTTTGCCTCCTACAAATAGTTTCATAATTCACAAATTAATACTCCCTCCGATCCATTGAATAACCTATGTATTTGAATTAAATATAGACCAGAAATATGAATTTCTAGTGAGGTGAAGGCATATATACCTTCACTAGTGACGCGTGCACCTCTTTCAAGCTTTCTTCTTTAGAGCACAGTTCTGAAAAGCCAGAATAAGGAATTCCTTCCTTTGAAGCCCATTCTTCCAATGTGGACTGAGAAGCCACAACAAGTGCCACACAATAACTATGGAAAGGATCAGCATGCAACATAATATTGTCCACATAGGGGCTGACAATAAGAGCTGCCTCAACCTATATTTAGTAAATTAGTTGTAGAGGAAAGTCGCTAGAGGAATCATTATTTTTATCTTCGTAATTGTAAGGATTGGATAATTTAGTTTCTTGACTTTATGAAAAACCACCTAGCATTAGAGCTAGCGGCAACAAATCAAGAACTCTAAAAAAAATATCAGCATTTTATTGATTTGAATTCTTCTGCTGATGACAATTTGGAGAGTGACTATTTTTATGATGAATGGATTAAATGGACCAATGATTCTATATTTAAGGGGTGATTCTGTCATTTCATGAATTTGGACCACTAAATAATCAGATTCTTACTCTCTTTAAGAACCAAAACGACGATAAATTTGAAATATAATTGAGAATGATGCATATTCTACAAATTAATGACCACCATACCTTTCCCAAAGAGACATACTCTCCATGCTGCAGTTTAACAATGTCCTTTTTACGATCAATGATCTCAAGACAACCATCTAGATGAAACCTCCCTATGTCACCGGTGTAGAACCATCTCATTCCTCTTTCATCAACCTGGCTCACCAGTGCACAAAATACAACATTCAGATTCACTAAGCAAAATCTTTTCAGCTATTTAGGTGGAAAATCATGTTCCCTCCATTTTATATCTGTTCCTCTAGGTTATGTGCACTTCAAAAAAAAATTATTGAATATACTATTTCCTACGGTAAAATTATCTTCTTTGATATTTATCTCACCTTATCAATAGAATTGACAGACATTTATCCCCTATAATTTTTTTCCCATCATAAAAATTAAAAAATTAAATAAATGCTTACCTTGTATGATTCTTTTGTCTTCTCTTCATTCTTGAAGTACCCAAGAGTGACATTTGGACCGCCGATTACAATTTCACCCCGGGGCATTGGTGAGTCATTAGTCAAATACCCACCTTCAGGCCAGTCGATAAGCTGAGAAAAACAAATTGACATATATAAGATAATGGCAGGGTATAAAAGAAAGATAATCAGTTAGGAAAGCATTTGTTTGACCAATTCTAGTTAGAAAGATAATTAGTATGAATTTGTAAAAATGTTTAACACTGATACTTTATACTAATTAAATCACTAGATGAATAGTCAGATGAAATGTAGGTTACCTATGCTGATAATGTACCATGATATAAGCATTAAGGAATGCTCCAAACCATATCGAGAAGGATGATTCCAGTAAACAGAAGTATGAAATGAAACCCAAATAAATTTAACAAGAAAGAGCAAAAATAACACATATTTCAATGGTATGGTATAAGAAAAGATTACTTTAAAGTTATGCTACTAGGAGTGAACTAGAGGTGAGGGATTTAAGATATTAACTAGATGTAATCAAACCACCATGTTATCAAAAGGATTCCTTTAAAATGAGAAGTTATAAAGGTTGATTCTCTAATTGTTATAACTTGCACTTTATTCAACCAACCATTATAATCTGCACTTTGTTCTCTAAAATGCATCCCTTGCTTTAAAATAGCTAAATCCCAATTACACATAATAGAGTAATTCACATAAAAATATGCATAAAAAAGTAAAGTTGGTGTGGTTAATTATTACCTTAATGTATGAGCAAGGAAGAGGTGGTCCGACACGGCCAACAGATGTATCATCAAAATCAGAGAATGTCCCACCAGCACAAGTCTCTGTAAGACCATATCCTTGACCTATTGGAGCACTGGAAATGACTAAACAATATAAACATCACAAATTATAGAAAAGAAAAATAATAAGCATAAATGGTGCAATAAGAGTATAAAATCCAACAATATTTTCCTTTACAGAAGGAGGGAAATCCTTGGTGCAACGATAGGATTGTTGCTTGTGACTATGTACGTACAAAAAGTTTCAAAGTTTGACATATCTATGCATGCTGTCTTTTATTAGTACTTCTGGTTGGAGAGGAAACCAATGATGATTATTTTTTTACATGTTAGCATTTTGAGTTAATTTGTCTCTCTGGTCTATTCCAGCTTTAGTGGTTTATTAAATTTTAATGTTGATTCCTAATATGTATATATTATTGACAAGACTGACCCAAGGCAGATATTGATGAACTGCTGAGTATCACCAGAAAGGGGAGCACCACCAGACAGTATAAAACGGATACGGCCGCCTAGAATTGCTCGGACCTTTTTAAACACAAGAAAATTCCAGAGAACCTTTTCCAAGCCCCAAGCTCCAAACCAGCTCCCATTAATAGCTTGCAACCTCCTCTCATAGGATAAATAAAACAACTTCTTAGGTAATCCTCCTGTTGCATTTACCTGCATTGGAGAGTCTTTCAGTCTAGCATTACTAATTGAAGCAAGTGAGTCACAATTTTAATCTTCAAAATTGTTGGAACAAACGGTTTAATCTAATCTCTAAATATACAAATGACAAATTAGTTTTTAAATTTAAGTCATAATCTAATTTAGTTCATATATGTCAACTTAAATGCTCATTTGAAGCATGTTTCTAGAAATTTGATTAGGGTTTATGTTGATTTCTATTTTACAATCTAGATTCATAATAATTGATTGAGCTTATTGATGGAATCACCAAAATGGTTGACGATCTTCAATTTCATAGACTAATTTGATATTTCATAAATTTGGAGATCAAATTGATCAACCTTATCGTCGAGGAAAAAAATAGTTTGAAAGGAGGTTTGATCATTGATGCAACTAGCTTACCAACACAAACATGAGGCATGAGATGGGTGGGGTATTCACATGAGTCACAAATCAAAATACCTTCTTGAACACTCCATCGCGAACACGGTCAAGAATTGCAGGTACAGCCGCCATTAAAGTTGGCATCAACACTGTAGCATCTCCCTTTGTTCCTTTCTTTATCTTGCTTGATGTATCTGTTAGGGTCAAAGGAGACCCATATCCTATAGCAGCCCCAACAGCTGCCATTAAATTCTACAATCAATTCAACTTTGTCAAAACACAAAAACACAAGAAAGTAGAAACAGAATGCAATGTTAAACACTTAAACGGAAACATTTATTGAATCTATTCACAGAACTGTGTATATCCATCTCCTTGCATACCTCTGCTGCTAGTTCAAGGATATGAGCCATTGGCAAGTATGCTAGATATATATCCTTTTTCCCAAGTTTGGGAACAATTGTCTTCACAGCAGAGACGGTAGCTAAAACATTGCCATGTGTCATCATCACACCCTGTGCAAAAAAAATTCAAATATAAATTGCTATTTAGGACTTTCAAATCCAGTGAAAGGAATTTAAAAAAAAAAAAAACTGATATTGGAAGAGCTATATATCTAAGATGCTTCAGACCTTAGGTAATCCGGTACTTCCACTTGTATACATAATAACTGCAACATCTGGTGGGAGAGGTAAATCAGCATCAACAGGGTTTTCTTTACCAAGTCTCTTAACATCTGCAAAAGATATGATTGTCCAGCCATGTCCAACAGATGAGGCATCAGATGGGATATCATCATCCAAGCATATCAAACGTTTCACTGAGTCAAGTTGTCCACTAATATTTACAAGTGTTTTCAATTCTTTCTTCCCACAAATTACTGTTGTAGCCTCTGTCTGAAAGAACAGAATTTGAGAGTGACTTCACAGAAAAACAAAGCAGTAAAGAGTTCATAGACTTGAATGAATAACATAATGGCTAATGCATAAACATTTCAGTAAACCACAGCAGGCAGTAAACAAGTTCCTTGAAGTAATGAAGACGCTAACGGAAAACAAGTAACCTCATTTAGGGAGTGACATAAAGCTTCCTCTCCCAATGATGCGTACATAGTTACAACTGTCACATTTCGCCTGAAACAACCCTGAAGGAGAAAACATAAGTATAAAATGAAAGGAAGAAAAAAGTTACACTAATTCAATAACATACAACTAGATAAATATTTGTCAAAATCAACTGTTGCATTGAAACTTACTATTACATATAGATCATAGCTATACGTTTTGACATTAACAACAGTCATATGCTATACCATCAAGATGTGATAAAGCTAACTTCATATATACAATTACACCACATTAGTTAACTTTAGTTTTTTCTCTCTAAAAAATTAAACCGAACAATTTAACTTTAAAATAATTTCTCATTGTTTTTTTTCTAGCAATGACCTGTCGCAGAATATGCTCTTCCATACACACTAATCCAGATCGAAACGTAAAGAACCTGATTATCTATCAATTGTCACACAATGTAGGTTATAACTGCTCATCTCAGGGAGCGTTTTTTCATGGTCTAAAAAATTATTTTCGAATCAGTTTCTCTGCAATTGGTTAATATTTATCACATTCCTAGAATTACTTGTAAAAATAGAAATATATAGGTAGATATTTAAATTTTATTCTCACATTCATGGAAATCATGTATACCCCACCCATTACCTTGGAAATAAAAGCATGGAAATGTGAAGTTATTTTCTTCCTTAGAATATTTAATATCTAGGAATTAAATTTCTAACTTCAAAGCAAATAAAGAAGTTTATTTTGTAACTTCTATATTTATGAGAATAAATTTCACAACTTTGAAAAAACACCCCATAATGACTTAAAAAGTAGGTTAAATTACATTTTTGGTTCCCCTATTTTGGCTAACTCACGAAATCAGTCATACTATTTATTTTTTAAACAGTTTTGGTCCTCATGTCCATTTTTCATCCAAAAAACGATGTTGTGTACTATTTTTTATTTATGTGACATACTTTTATTGACTTTGCATAAGAAAGATTAATTATTCATTGTATTTTCGACGACTTTTTATTCCTTCAATTGTCTTCTTCCACATCTTCTTCATCTTTTTTCTCTGTCGGCTTGTTCATTGCTTGTTCATTCGTCTTCTTCGTTCACGAAAATATGTTCTTCATGTTCTCTCTCGTTCATAAAGTGCCATGTATACAAAAAATGACATATCAACGTTTTTTAGAAGAAAAAATGGAAATGGGCCAAAATTGTTTAAAATATAAATAGGGGGACTGATTTCGTGAGTTGACCAGGCCAAAACTGTAATTTAGCCTAAAAAGTACTTTATGTCTCATTTTATGCTCATTTTAGAAGAGACAATATTGTCTCATAACATATATTGTGTAACAAAATACTATTTTTTCTATTATATTTTAAAAATTATTTACATATGTTTTAATTAATATAAAAGACATTTAAAGTGTAGATTAGAAAATTTACAATAATAATAATAATGCATGTAATTAAAATCAAATAAAATGGAGTAGTAGTACTACTTAAAAAGAGATGCTCTCGGCACTGGATTAGGACCCTATTTCTGGGAACAAATAAAAAATAAAAATTAATTAAAATTAATTAAGATTTAGACAGGAGCAGTAATACCACCAACCTGTAGAGCAATGAACCACTCTTCCCTTGTATCAGCAAAAATAGCCGCACGGTGTTCCCTCCCATGTCCCAACGCAGCCAATCCACTCCCAAAGCTAGAAACCGCTTCAAACACCTCCGCATACGAGAGCCACTCATAACCTCCCAATTCAACCTTCTCGAACTGTCTCCCGTCGCTACTCGTTTCCATTTCCCTCGATACAAGCAACCGAGTTCCTAGCAACAGTCCCTCCCCGTACTTCCTGCACGCTTCCTCGAACAGCTCCGCCAGCGTGCTCACTCCCTCCCATGCCGTCTCCACCGGCGAATCGAAGCGCTTGTTTCTGACGGTTACGCCGGGATCGGTGGTGTCGGTGGGAACTCCGCGGCGTTTGGGGTGGTTGGAGCGGAAGAGGAGAGTGGCGAGAACGGGGAGGATGACGCCGAAAATGTAGGGATTCATTTGAGTTGGTGACGGTGGCTGGTGGGGGAGAATCGAGGAGGTTATTTATTGTTAGAGAGTTTTACAGCTCACTAAGAGTTGGCTTTGTTTTCTGCTTCTACTTCACTTGCTCATCTTCAAATGATTGGTTAGGTTTACATAAGAATTATCTCCTTATTCTATTTCTATTTTCTTTTTCTTGTTTCTGCTGACTTTGGTTTCAATGCGGTGTCTAATACACAAAGGGAAAGGGAAGAGAAATAGTAATAAAAATAAGGGTCATGCTAAATTTGTTAATTTGAGGAAAAGAGTCTAAGTATTTACCGTATTCAAATAATTCGAAATTTTGTTCTTTAAAAAGGGATCTCATTAATATATTTCTCTTTTAAATTCTTTTTAAAAAGTGCCTTCAAATTTCAAAATAAGTAAACGCCTCTTATTCTATATATTTTCTCATAAATTAAGAAATAAATCTAAACTATTACAAATTTATAAAATTAAGTTTATTAATTATTGGTTTAAAATAGTAGAAAAAAAATTCTAAAGGACTATATTAATTTATAGATTTTTGAAAAAAAATTAAAAATTTCAAAATAATAATTTTTTATCACTATATATATACTCCTTTAAGCTTTATTTATAAACAAAAATTCTTTTTTTAAGTTTATTGAATAACGAATGTATATGATCTATATCAAATATCCGATCTATATCAAATATATATATATATATATATATATATATATATATATATATATATATATATATATATATATATATATATATATATATATATATATATATATATATATATATATATATATATATATATATATATATATATATATATATATATATATATATATATATATATATATATATATATATATATATATATATATATATATATAGTATTATATAGTATTAAAGTATAAATTATTAAATATTTATATTCATTATATAAATTTATTATTAAATCTGAACAAAAATAGTAATATAGAATAATAAATAAATCATATTAAAGTGGCAGTAAATTATATGATGATGTAAATAGAAAGAAAATTATATTTAATATTATTATTCGAAAATTATTATTATTATTATTATTATTATTATTATTATTATTATTATTATTATTATTAAATTACGATTTTTGTCTATCAGTTTTATCTAATTAATAAAATTAATTTTTTATTCAATTCAAACGATTTTGATTCTCTCATATTTTTCATTAAAAAAATGGATGATATATTCTTTTTTTAACTTATATTATTATTTTTAAAATTTTAAAGTTAGTTTATATATAATGATTTGTCATATTTTACAAGAAATTTTTTATTTAAAAAATAAAAATATAATTAATTTTAAATACAATAGTATGAGAGGATCAAAAATATTTAAATTTAAAATAGAAGAATCAATTTCCCAAATCAGATAAGACAGAGATATCAAAATCAAAATGATGATAAATTATTATTATTATTATTATTATTATTATTATTATTATTATTATTATTATTATTTTTCTCTATTTTATAAGAAAAAAATTATTTGCGTCCTACCGTTCTTTAGAAAATAATTAATTGATTTTAATAATAAAATTATATTTTAATTATTAAAACATTTTTATCAATTATAATTAATAAAACAATTAATTGAATAAGAAAAATAATAAATATTATATTAATATTCTAAATATAAAATTACTTTGAGATAGGAAAAAATGATAAATATTATAATGATATTTTAAATATCCAATTACTTTTAATAGTCTAAATATATATTAATAAAAAAAATACTAATAGTATATATTCATATATAATTTTATACAAAATATCTCTTTTTATGATTTTATACAAAATATCTCTTTAAAAAGAAGTTAGAGATTCATTTAATTTTCTCTCTACTTATCTCCTCTCAAAGCCCTCCCAATGTAACACCGTTAATTCCCCTCAAAGCTCTCCTAATGTAACACCGTTAATTTTAATAATCTATATTTTCATATATTTTATAGATAATTTTGTATATATGTATTTTATTATTGGTTGTGATATTTTTGTATTTATTCGACTAATAATATGTATGCATAATTTTATTAAACTACTTCTTGATATCGCCTTATTTTAAAATATATTATGAGAAATGGTTTCATTGCATGATTTCCTCTGAACAGGGCAAAGACGGCAGCACGAGGTAAATCTTCAGTGTTGTTGGGTATAGGTTCCTATCCAGTGATTTGGAAAAAATGGGAGATGATTCATACTTGAAAATGGTCTATATAAAATATTAATAACAAGTGTAATAAAAGAGTTATGAAAATATTGGTAATGGAAAATTATCGTAAGTAGCGTACAGCTTCCTATCGTTTGCTTTGTTTCCAAAGCCAACTCTCTCCTAACTTTGAGTAAAGGTAGACCAAACAGGAGGGTCTTCAGTTGTACTCGTGAATCGTCATCAAGTTGATGAAATATTTAAGGTAAACTGCATCGATGTGGGTTGCACTTTTGTCCATAAAAATAAATGTGACAATTAAGAACAAGAGGTAGCATCTCGATGCACATTGTCGATAGTACTCAACATGTATATCATCACCATTGGCATCCTAAGACCACTACAGCTGGTCTTTATAAAGTTCTTACAAAAATTCAAATCTAGCATGTGTAACACGTCGTTTTTATCTAAATGTTATTTCATTAATTATTTTCCAAAATTATTAAATTATATCTATTTTGAGAAATATATTCAATTGATATCGATTAAAATATTAATTGAGTAATATGAAATAAAAATATTTATTGTGTCGGAATATTGTTTTGAATAATATTAATTTGGTGTGTAGTAATATTTGACTTTGTTTGATTAATTGGCATGATTAGGTTTATATAGAATGAATATTATTTAGTGTAATATTGTTTAATATGGTTATATATTATAACTTGAGTTAAATAATTGTTGGGGCAAAATTATAATTTTTGAAAGATAGAGGGAGGAAAGTTAGTAGTAGAAGGAGGGTTTTATAAAATAGAAAGGAGAGTTAGTAAGAGTAGTGGAAAAAAGAGAAAGAAGAAGAAGAAAAGAAAAGAGGAGAAGAGAAGAAAGGAAGCTAGGGTGAAGTTGCAACATCTTCATCTTCTTGTTTCAAGAAAACCCACACCAAGGTAAGGGGTTTGATTCTCCATCTCATATTGTTAGGTTTGATAGATATATTTTGGATTTGGGGGGAAAATGGATAGTTGATTTTATAGGGTTTTGTTGGTTGATTGTTAGAATGGTTTAGAAAAGTTGGATTAGGAGTATGGTTTGTGGGTGTATTAGGTGCTAGCTTGTAGAAATTAAGAGTATTGAAATGGGAAAGAAAACCATGGTAGTTGAATGAGAAAAACCCAAAAGAGTGGAGTTTTCACGCAGGCCTCTCAACACGGGCCGTGTTGCAGCACACGGGTGCCCGTGTTGATGCCCTGACTTGGCATTTCTTTAGGCACGTTCATGGTGGCCTCTCAACACGGGCCGTGTTGCAGCACACGGGTGCCCGTGTTGATGCGTCTGTAGACCCCAAATTTCTGATTTTCGCACTTTCTTTGGAACGCGATTGTGTTCCGATTTTCCGATTTGGAATTATTTGATAGTTGATGGTTTATGTTTTGGTTGAGTAAGTAACTTGTTTGTATACATTCTACTTGATGTTGAGATTGTTAAATCATATGTATGCATGCATGTACAATAGTTGATGTTCCATTGGTTGGATTTGATGGCATGTGTATGTTAAGATTATTGTGAGTCTTAATTGCATGCATTGGTTATATTGTACATTGCATGGCATGGTTGGTCTTGAAACAGAGACGGTGAAACTGTGGGTTCACACAATATTTAGACGGTGACCCTATTGGGGAAAAGACGTAGTGACCTTGATCCGGAAGGGAAACACAGGTGGTGGAACTTTGGGTCCACAATATCTAGACGGTGACCCTATTGTGGGAAAAGACGTAGTGACCTTGATCCGGAAGGGAAACATAGGTGGTGGAACTTTGGGTCCACGAGTCGGTACCGCATTCGCATACGTTGAGTCGTGTAGTGAGTCTCATGTATATTTGTGCATGTTATGCATGAGTGTGGATGTGTTTTTGATTATGTACCAATATTGTTGTTGTTTGAATTATGGTTATGTGCCAAGGATGTGAGTATTTCAGATAATCGGTTTACATGGCTAATGTGTTGAAGATGGGTTCCTTGAGTAAGGATACTACGAGTGATAAAATGAACATGATCATTATGTATTGCTTTATTTATTGCCATTTCATTTACTTAAAATTACATGTTATATGATTATTGGAATTCTTACCCTTTTGTTGGCCAATGCCTTTGATGGCATTGTGCAGGTACCGAGGACGGTAGCGCGAGGCGCTAGCTAACGGATGCATTGGATTGCAATCTGTTTTATTTTGATTAGAGTCGAGTCGATGCTCTGGTAGTAACACATGGGGGGGGGGGGGGGGAAATTATTTAGTGTCGAACTCAATTATTTTGTATTTGGATTATGATGTATATAATCCTTATTCTTGTATATGATGTTTTGTATATGAGAGACTTGATAACATATGCTCATGTGATTTATGATGGCTTGATGCCTTGGATTATGTTTTGATTCCTCCATAATGGAGATGATGTGAAATTGTGAAACTCCGTTGCGTTTGCACGAGAGAATGAAGTAAATATTTATTGTATGTTTGTTTTATGTTGGAATACTTATACCTTCAAACATACCCTGTCCGTTTTCTTTAAAAATAATTTGGAATGTGTTTTGTGTTGTGGCATCCCTTCCGTGCAATTTTATTTCTCTGATTTTAATCTTTACCTATGAATTGGGGTATTTAGATGGGGTGTTACAATAGTGGTATCAGAGCATAGTCGGTCGGTTGTCAGGTCTTATTTTGTTAATCCCTTGTATTTGATTGTGTGGCTAACGCGATCAATGCCCTGTGTTGTTCAGAAGATGGCTGGCAGAAGGAATGATGATGCTTTAG